TTTGAACTGTCAACAATATTTTCATGCCATTGGCTCAATTTTACGTATTAAGTTATGCTACTTATTGTTAATATTCAGTAGTTTATGTACCATCAGTAAGTTTTGTAAGTTTTCATATTAGATGTTTGTCGCCGGTACTGAACTATTGATCATAAATCGCTGCATTGTTATTCAGTTTTTGATTCTAGCCTCTTGCGCGGGATAGCGTTTCTCTTCCCTTCTTAATAACCAGATTGTGGTGATCTCGAAACCCCATTGATCATCTCAATCCATTGAATGAAGTTCAGACTCAACCAGTTGTCCTACTAAGAAGGGATAAGTAGACATAATGAGAAATATAGAAAAGCACACATCATTGTTCGTAGGGGTTTGAACTATGCCTTTATATATATTTAGGGACGAATTCTGATTACTATCTGTTAAGATACGTGCATCCTGTGCGGATTCCCTCGAGATAACCATTATTTCACAAGTTTTTTTGGAATAGATGGATAGTGAATAACAGAGAAATTCAAAATACTTCCTTCGTACATTCTAGAACTCGTACGTTCCATGGGATAAAATCGTAACTATAAAAAGATAATGTGTGTTAAAATAGTCGGTGGCTATCTGGACTCAACAGCACAGTGGATAACTTGTTAAGTAGTTCAAGAGGGATGTAATGATTTCGATTGGCAGTGCAAACATCAAAACCGGAATGCAGCTACATCAGACTGATGAGTTATAATTAAAGAAACATGTGTTCTGGGTTCCACTCAGGGCAACAGTTCACTATTTCTGATTGTAAGATAACAAATATTGGACGGGATATATGTAAGAATAGATATGGTCGTCTGATATGATTGTTTTTATCTAGTTGTGGTCAACAATTTAATTGAAAACCGTGTTTATTCCAAATAGTTGATTTCAACAAACATTTTGACTGTGCTTTGCAAGTTTTTTAGACACTAGGACTGCATTCATTTTTCAAGAGGCTACTTTAAGGATTCTCATCAAAACCATTTTAAGTGTTAGGTTACACAATAGTCATTCTAAAACCAATACAAAGGTAATATTCTCAAAATCCTGCTATTTAATTACATACATCCAAATCCGAATTTCTGCAACTGTTTGACTGAAGAACTTGGACCTGCCGAAACACTTGCTCATCATGATACCTTGAGAAAATTGCTATGATTCGGACATTTTATCCTACCTTAAAGGTACAGGGACCACTACAATTACTCAGACGTAATTCTATATTTAATCCATCTTTAGTACTGTGGCGCAATGTACGTTCGTCACCATTGAAATATATCGATGGTCCGTCAATAATATCTGCTTGCAGTGATTATTGATGGTGCATTATCGCTATAGCTTACTGAAGACTCTACCAGATGCAATATACTATTTGGTTTCATTGTTAGTGCTTCCGCATAGCTCACCATTGTTGCTACGCTGAATGTCGGCATTTTATAACTGTTAGAAATAATAGTCATCAATTTAGCATGGTAGTGGGTGCTGTCATTAAATGATTAGCAAAAAACTTTCAAGCCCAATGTACTAGATAATTATATAACTGTAAAGAAAACGTAAAAGGTATATTGACCACTTTCATTTGTATTTGTGGTAAAATGGTCCGGTCCCAAGCCCGGATAAAGGAGGAGGGTCGGGCATGAGATCAGCGACCCAATCCCGTAGAAAACTAACTCGCTAGAAAAACTAACCAGTAAAATGGTTAACTAAACTTAAAGTTATTCTCTTAGTATTTTTGCATTTGAGACGTTTTTATATAGGATGAGGAAGAATATAAATATCTGGTACTGAAGATGCAACAGTGTGAACGAAAGGAACATATGGTCTCCGCCACCATAAAAGAGCTTGCTACAAGGTTCTATATAATCGTATTTCCTGACTCCACTCATTGCCTCTTTGAGAACTGAGATGTATCAATGAAAAAAGGTTAACGCTGATAAAGAGAGTTCACGAAAGATCACATTTTCATACAGTTGTGTTACAATAGTTGATCTCGTTTCATTTAAGAATCATGTAGTCTTTGTTGATCTTCCTTCCTATTCTTTATTTTCTGGTCAGCTACTTAATATTATGGAGTAGTTTAATTATTTCAAGTTAATAATGGTAACGATGGTTGAATGTACAAAATTACACACTGGTACTTAGTAAACTTCCTAATGACTAGAATTCTGAGTAGAACAGAAAATGACTTCGAGTCAAGTGATCAATAAACTTTGGGAAACTCATGAATTTATGAGTGGATAGTAGTGATCTTACTACATTGAATTACATGCGGTCAAATAAAACATCGTCTTACCGGAATATAACCGATGTAGAGAACATGTATCATTTTAAGTCTGAAGGCAAATTTTCCTCCTTTGCTTTCAATCTCGATTCATAATGGAAGTGAACCTGTCATTATCTATATAATCTCCAGAAATATAAACGCTCTCTGGAAATAATTTGTTTCTAAAGTTTCTTATCACTTTCGATGATTATTTGTCATGAATATGTTAATAAGTCTTCTCAGGAGTTTGTGTTCTGCTTGTGAAGTAAACGGCATTTTATCCACAAAATGATAAAACATTTGTCAGATATATATGTAACTAATCATAAGGGAGTAGTAATTATGATGAATTCAATCAATTTTAAAAGAACGATATGGCTTGACATATTTACCAATAATAAGTAAGTACCATCGCACTTCGGATATATCAGTCATGATTTTTATGATAATATTATAAAAGCGGCATACAGGTAGTTTCTTCGAACAGAATAAAGTTTATATACATCAGTGGCTAGTGGACATATTCTCAATATCATAATTCGTTGTTTTAATAGAACAAGCAATGTTTCCTTTCTAATATGGTATAAATCAATATTAAACTTCATCATGATCAAAAGGGGTACACAAAATTTTTAAATAATTAGGTTTTGGATTATTCAAGTTTACGGCATGGTAACAGTAACGTGATTGAACGATATGTTATACAAGAAGTTTGTCAGATTATCGTCTAGTTATTTTCTGAATCTTCTGTGAATTGTGATTCCGAAAACAGTGGTTACTACCTACTTATAAGATGAATAAATCTCTGTTTCAGTAGTTCTGAAAACAACTTATTATATGCTTATCTAGGACTTAATTTAAAGTTCGGTTTCACATAACTTCTCAATTCCCTAAACCCTGTGAAATTGTATTCACTGTTAATTTCTACCCCCTAGATCTTTTCCCTTATTTCAGTTCTTCATATATTCACTTATAAGCATATTGTCTCTTGGTTATCAAACTTCCGGTGATACTAGCATATCATTGTCTTAATACATTTACTTTAAAAACAACGCTGAGATTGCTTGAATGTGTCTATAAAACAAAGCTAACATTTTCCACAGCTTACTATTTTCCATCATTTAAAATGACTACACAGCTTATAATGCTGTTGCAACTCTTATCTGCTTCTATAAATGATACATCCTGTCATCGTTTACATGTCAATTTCTTAATCACAGAGTTAATGTAAACAGCCTTTTGTCGTATCGTTTAAATTACAACTGATAAAGAAGTCTGCTACGTACCTAAATTATAAGCCAATTATTCAAGTGTCCTTTTAACTAAGACCGAATACTGTATCATAGTTGAGCGTCCCCTAATATCTGTTTTGTATCTTGTTAATGAAACAAGGAAGTTAATTCATGTTTTTGAGAACAACACGTTTCTTGTAAGTCTGACTTCTTTCATGTACCAATTGCCAGCTGGACAACCGCATCTGATAATAATGAGATAATGTAATTAAAGTTAACACTTTAACGAGTCATCCTAGTTCAAATGAATAGATTTTGTATCGTTCTGAATTATAATATAATGTCACCGGTACAAACGGAGGCTATAATCAACCAGGAAGATTGAGGGATGTTAAACAGTTTTATATTGTACGATATGATTTGACAAAATAACATGAAATGATAAAATATATGAACTGTAAATTATGTTACCGGATAACATTATCTACCTACAGAAACAAATTTGAAAAAACAATTGTGTACAGGAGATATATGTTGAGTAATGTAGGAACTATATAGCTATATATGGATGTAAGTAAAGGGTATGACCATTCTATAAAGGATGTTCATGAGATAGGTGTAAAACAAAACCTATCAGCTAACTAATCTTTGTAATATTATATAATAGAGAAATGATGATACCAGATGTTGTGAATGACTTCCAACCAAACAGGATATTTATATTGATCTACTCAGGAACGTTGGACGACGTCCTCCAACATATAATGGTAACAAAACTTTTAGAATAAAATTAACCAAATTCCCTTTTACTTTAAAGAAGAAGAGTTTGAGAAACAGTTGACCATAGAAATATAACAATTCTGAGAAGAAACCTCCAACATCATGTTGACACCATTACTAGGTTTTATGTGTAAGTTCTTTGGATTATGCTTCAGAACTACATAAGAATAATAAAAAAAATGGAGTCGACAGCACTTAACCAACAGTAGTCACGAAACAGGGAACTCCAAGTCCCTCAGGATAAATGATAAAGAACGAATGAAGAATTTCTGTATCCAAATTAATCCCGTATAAACGGAGGACAGTAGTGTGAATTTCTTCTTACTCTGATAACTATTATTGTCATAAAAAAGTTTTATTCATTGTGAGATCTCAGTTTTTGATGATTTGAGCACTGAGACGATTGCTAGTTTATATTTAGACTCTGAATACTACTTTCACCACAGGCGATAACTGGATAAAACTGTCCAAATCCATATCTGCAATATCTAATTTATTTACAAGTTATCACCATTTATCTTTGAAGTTTTCTTCAATGCAACTGATGTTGTGATGCGTAACAATAGAGAGTTTTACAAAATGTCCAGAAAAATATAAGTTCTCAGAAAAAGTTATGTAAGTTCAGATTTATCAACATACGAAAAATCAAGTATCTTTGCAAACAATCTTGTATTTGTTCTGTTTAACAATTTTAGATGTAAATATTTTTACAGAGTACGTATTTGTGAAGTGGTCTCATTTTGTTGGGTTTCTGTAGTATTCACAATATCTGTACTAACATTACTATATTTTTCTTGACAGTGAAAAAACCAACAGCTTCCACTACAACAGTCCGAGCTCCAAATACATAATTTATTTGTACCAAGACAATGAACACATATTCCATTGAAGAATCCATGACAAACTAATTTGTCACAACAGTGACGAAAGAAAATCCGACTGCAAGAATCGTTAAGGTGTGCACAGTTCTTTTGTACAGCTGGTACTAGCATTCAAACAAAAATATTTGAAACAATGTAATTCTGGACAAAAATACTAACACATATTGTAGTGTAGGTTACTATGCTAAACCCACATAACTTATTCTAGCTTCTCGACAGGCCAATTTATTCATTCTTCTTGAGTCACATTTTGACCTTGTTAATTATTCACTTATCAACCTCAACTGCTTTTATATGAGCATATGTGTGTACACTTCTTATCTTATTCATCATATGTCTGTGGCTTATTGTGTATGACTATAAATATTGATTAAAGAATGAATGAATTGAGTTGGCTCACTCGCCTTCTCCACTGAGCGTCATTTCACTTCATTCTCTTCTCTTCACTTCTTTCGCTTCATCCCCTTGATTATCTGTACAGACCAAAGATTGTACAAAATATACATATTCGAAATCCATTCTCATATTCGGCTTACTTAATTCCGTTATATTCACTAACACTAATTAATTCGATAACCATATACGGGGATTGATGACATGTATATTTTAATAACATTCATACGATATAAGCAGAGTCAGACATCGGGCCACAAAAGTTGTAAGCCCGTCGAAAACATCGTCCGACCTTATTGACATCAAAGTGAAGGACCCCATTAAAATATACATATTGTTGCACAAACTACATTTCGCAGTTTTTGTTCAGTATTGTTGACATTTTAAAATAAGACTTAACACATCTCAGAATCTACTGATTAGTAGAGGATTTGTTTAGTAACATGTAAATGAAACATGACGAACTTAATAAACTAGCTGGGAGTTGCATGTTGTTATGTAATATATTTCATGCCCATTTAGTTTAAATAAGAGCTTTAGTCTAAATTTGAATGAATAGTTTCAAAATATTTGGGCGCCGAGTTAATGTGAGACATTAAAGAGGAAGAATAGTATTTGTAAAATCTCAGCGAAAGTAAATCCAACGTTTCCTCCAAGCTTTTTCAAGGAAAATCTAATCAAATAACAAAATTATCGAATAATTTCGATTTAATTCAAATTCTTTCGCTGAGATTTTACAAATACATTCTCCCTATTTAATGTCTCATCTAGTTTAATTACAAATACTCAATTTTCAATATTACTGTGGTGTGTGCTACTTATGTCGATTGTTCCCCACTGGTGTTCTTGTTCACTACAGTACCACTGTTGAACTGATGAAAACTATACCTAAATAATGATTACTCTATCACTCTAGTAAATGTCGTTACATGTAGTTATATATAAATAATACAAATATATCTATATGGATATAATATTGAACATACCACTTTCATTGGATATAACTAAGGTAAAGGTTATGCTTATAAGCCATAGAATAATATATTGAATATATCTATTCATTACAATATATATTGCAGTATAGATTTACTAACATTTAATGATAAAATCGTAATTTATATATACATGTTTAATAGAGTAAGACATGTCTTTATAGTAATGGTTAAATTATATGAATATAATCATGTTTTGGCTTGATTTCAGAACAATGATCATCAATGATAAACTTGTAATAAATTGAAAAAAAAATCTAACATGAACTTAATAAAGTGAGTGTGCTAGTACTGAGTCAGGTTGGTTGGTGATTTAAGATGAATTATGTGTTAACAAATGTTATCCTAAAAGCAAATACAACTTAAGTGTGATATATATAATAAAAATAAGATTAGTTTGTACTAATATAATAGCTAATTTGGCTCTGTCACCTTGCTTTAAAGAAGAAACATTTTATGCTTTAGGACAAATGTGTACTACTTAAACTTGGATTTATTTGATTTAGTTGTTTATTGTCTGACGAAATGGGTTACATGAGTGATGAAACGTTGGAACATTTAATTTTTCTACTCATTTGGGTATAACAAATATATTATTTTATTTTATTTAAATGTGTTATCTCGCTGTATTCCATATTTGTCATCAAACATTAGTTAAACATGGCCAAAACATTCAGTATGATCCTCTGTTCCAACTGTATGACGTACTAACGTATGTTGTTCTGATGTTCTAAGTGTCTTTTAATGAAGCTTTTTGTGTTTTTATTATATACCATGGAAGAATATCGCTGTGCTTATGACGATTTCATTTCAATAGAAAGCTAATATTTTAACTGTAATTATTCTTTTAATTTAATATTTCAGTTATGAGTTTTCAAGTGGGTCATCTAATTTCATTTCTATCAATAAACATTTGAATGTTTATTCGATTTTAACTATGTAAGACACTAACGATGTAGTGAACGGGAATACCAGTGAAGACAATCGAATGTCATGCAATGGGTTCCCTTTATGAATTTAAATAGAGCAAGAACAAACATTGATGCAAAATAGTATGAATTCATATTATTTTGAGGTTTCTCGTCAGCTGCTTACAAACCAAAATTGTGATAGAATATCTTTACATGGAGATAGTGTGAAACAATTAACATAAATGAGTGTAAATAACTGGATTACAATAATAACTATATATATAAATATGCTAGAAACGGGTCAGAGGTCAAAAAAAGCATGATACAGTTGAAAAGAAAACCTGCTTCCTATCCTTGCGCTTCAAAGGAGATGAAGTCGCCGGAATTACTAATCACAGAATTAATTCCGCTTTAAAAGTGGCCTACCCGGCAGCCAAACTGACTACGTTATGGAAAACATACTGCTCACTGAAACAAACGAAGATCGACAAGTCCTCTCCCCTCAGTTGCTCCAACTGCATTTACCAATTCACATGTACGTGCCGTAGCACATACATTGGAAGAACTGAGAGAAGAGTACAGGTTTGCATTTCTGAGCATATTCTGAAGAACTTGACGCTGCGAGGGACTAAAGCTTTCAACAGTGCAATAGCTCGGCATCTACTTGACACCGGGCATACCGTTGATATTCTGCACGCGTTTAAAATTATCAATGGACAAAGGAGTACTACCACTCTCCGCTTTGCTGAAGCCATTGCAATTAAGAAACTGAAACCGGATTTACGCATTCAAAAAGAGACTTAAATGAACTTAACACTACCCTGGTAATCTCTTTTGTTTCCGTTTGTTTTTTTGTGTTTTGGTTATTTGGTTATTTTATTCATTTACTTATTTTAAGATATTTTACACCCCCCCCCCTATTACCTAATTCTTAAACTAAAATTTTATTATTATCAAAATGGGTTTTTGTGGAGATTTTTAGAAATTTCACAAGTTGAAATCATAAGTCAATTGAAGCTAGACCACCATGGAAAACCTGGAAGCACTGGACGGCCGTTTTGTCCTGGTATGGGACTCCTCAACAGTGCGCATCCACGACCCCGCACATTAACACTGTTGGATGCCGGCTCAGTGGTCTAATGGTTAAGTGCTCGCGCGCGAAGCCAGTAGGTCCTTGGTTCGAATCCCGCGAGGTGCGGGGTTGTGGATGCGCACTGCTGTGGAGTCCCATACCAGGACGAAACGGCCGTCCAGTGCTTCCAGGTTTTCAATGGTGGTCTAGCTTCAATTGACTCATGATTTCAACTTGTAAAATTTTATCCACACATTTCCACCACCTCATCCTCTTAAATTATCTTAACTTTTCAAATTCTATTTAATTATTATTACGTAATCTACCTTATCATTATTCAATTCCATTAATCTCTCTAATTATCACACAATTTATGAACTTCACTAAACTATTACACCACGCAACCTGAATCAACCCTTTTTGTGACCTCTGACCTGTTTCTAGCATATATATATAAATATAGTTATTATTGTAATCCAGTTATTTACATTCATTTATGTCAATTGGTTCACACTATCTCCATGTAAAAATATTCTATCACAATTTTGGTTTGTAAGCAGCTGACGAGAAACCTCGAAATAATATGAATTCATACTATTCTGTATCAATGTTTGTTCTTGCTCTATTTACAATCGAATGTATTTGAACATAAAAATTACAGCATCCTAGAACCAAACAGTAAATACTTCATTTGCAAAATATCAGTCAATAGTCTTAAACTTCATTGTTCATTCGCTTCCACACTAATCATTATCTGTTCTCGTTCTCTTTTCTTCGATCTTCTTAACGTTCTACTACCAGGTATTTTACTTTCGATTGATGATACATACTACTTATATCTGTCGACATCAGTAGCACACACCACAATGATTATTTAAAGAATTAAAGGGTCAATATTTTAGAAATAACACTGAGATTATCAATAGTTTAGATAGGTAGACCTATCATGGATCTTCTAAATAATATGGTATCATATAAATAATGAACTTTATTTACTAGAGTGACAGAATTTTACTCTAACGTGACTTACTGTATTTGTTTTTATTAATAGATAAGTGGAACTATAGTGTATAGATTTCCTTGATTGACTTGAAAAGTGATCTTAACCAAATTTTTATAGAGTTCTTAGCCATTTAGAATGTTGTTGATATTGATGAAAAAGATGACAACAAAAATGTACATAAGCTTTTCTTTAAGAACTGATGAAGTCATAATTGATTTATCACTACCTAGTGATCAATGTCATGTGTGTCAATTCCTTATTTAGTTCAGATCGAACGCTATCGACCAAGTTGCAATGTGGCCACTAGTCTAGGTGACTTGACACTGCATGCACTATGTTTGGATAAGATAGTGGTTGGAGGTAGTCAACAGGAAACCCTGGACCCAGGTTTTGTGCTACCACCAGTAATCAATCAATTGTACAGGTACACTTTGCTGACGAGTGCCAAGTAGCAAGAAACCCGGGTCTAGGATTTTCTGTTGACTACCTCCAACCACCATCTAAGAACTTATGAAGTTTGCGGTTAAGAATTAAGGTTAGGAAAATTCACGAAATATCTAAATTATGATGTTGACAAGCGTAAAAAACTACATCAAAGTATAATGAGCGAAAAAGATATTATTTCAGATTATTGTTCAAGGCTTAAAATAGCAACAGTTGTTAATTAATCAATCTTTACATATGAACATGATATTAGTGCCCATTTTTCATCATATTTGAAATCCAGACATAGTAACTAATAATAAATTCCTCATAGAATTATTGGACTACTGTATATATTACATCACAATTGCGTTTATGTAAGAAATGAATATAAATGTGCAATACGATCTGGTTTATAAATTAAATACACTCAGTCATATAATTGACCTAATATTTACTAATACACATTCAAACACTAATGTAAAGGAAATTAAAGCGTAATATGGTCACCGATGATATTAACATCTATTAGCGTACTTTTATATGTTCATAACCACTGACTAGTTGATATAGTGTAACAGTAACAAAAATCATTACATGTGATGTTACTAATACGAGTCTGTTTTTCTTATTTCGTGACAACAAAGAGTAAACGCACTGGAAGAAAAGGAACAAGCTCT